CAGAGCCCCATTGCCATGCATTGGAGAGCGATATCGCGCGGTAAATAGCCGCGATATCGCAAGAATTACCGCACGATAAATCGCTCAGTGTGAATGGGGCCTAAGTGTTCACACGGAGCAGAGCAGAGAACAGACGTACTCTCCATCCTGAACTACTTTGCCGTGGTCCAGGGTCGGCCAGAAGACTGATGGACCCTGAAAATTGGTCAGGGAGGGAGGCGGCCAGCGGGGGGAGAGGCAGCTGGCGGGGGAGGACAGACCATGGAGGGGGGACCCGCAGGCTGCATACAAGTGATCTCCGTAGCATCGTCGAGATCACTTGTACTAAACGAATGGTGGCTTCCCTGCTGTACATTTAGCCCTGCTTGCCCGAAGCAGGGCTAAATTTAGAAAAAAACTACCGCTCGGAACTGCATGTCCCAGGGCGCCGGGCGATATGAATTCGACACCTATACCTGGGCTTGCGTCCCACCAGAGGAGCCTCTGCATGTCCTCTGTGGCACGCATGTCATAGGTTCGCCACCGCTGGTCTAGGACTAGGTGATGGTATAAGCTAGTAATAGTTAATCACATTCAGCTGGACTTTTCATCTAACTCAAGAGTAAAGGTGCCCATACACTGCACGATTCTCGTACGAGAATCGCGGGAAATCCCGCGATCGTACGAGAATCGTGCAGTGTATGGAAGGCGTGCGACCGTTTCTACTGTACGGTCGCACGTCTTCCGTCGAACCAGCATGCTAGAAAACCCGCCGGGAATCGTACGATTCTCGCGAGTTAGTGGCCTGCTGGTTCGACAACTGCCGAACGGGCCAGTGTGCGCATGCGCACACTGCCCGTTTGCAGTCATTGGAAGCCCGCCCCTCATTACAGTCATCGTAAGCCCGCCCCTCAGGTGGGCAGGCTTGCGATGATCGCCTGCCCAAGATGGGCAGGTCGTACGTTTTTTTAAGTACTTTACAACCCTTGCAAGACAAAAGTCTTGTGAGGGTTGTAAAGTGTATGGGCACCTTTCCTCAACTTTTTTTCCCTGTGATGGACTACAATCTCATGTTTAATTAACTAATTAAACATAAGGTTGTAGTTCATTACAGGAGCAAGCTTTGAGCTGTGGTTACTATACAACACACACAAGATACATGGGGAACAAAAGTAGCCACCCGCCAGAAGGAAGGACAGTGTCAACATGATTTCAGAGCTGATTTGAGGATCTACAGCCAAGTGATCCCCAAATAAGTTACAAATAAGATTTAACTCCTGAGTTTAGTGCTACTTTTAAAGATGGCTGTTCAATGTTCCCAAAAGTCAATCAGCCATAACATTATGAACAGAGGCATGTAAATTTCGTTTCATTCCGAATGCAAATTTGGACAACATTTTGTGAATTCAGATGCATCCCGATGTCTGAATTCCAATTGGGCCGAATGCAAATTAATCTGAATGTTCTTTTAACGGAACTTCGGACCATCTACATTTTGTTCAAAACTAAGCTAAACAGACACGTGACTGTTTTCTGGCCAATTAGAATCCCCGTCTATAACTAACACAAAATTTTGATAGATCCGATTAACGAAACACGGTTTGGACTCGAAATCTGAAATAAAAACAATCAGAAGTAAAACAAAACACATTTTTTGCTGGCTTACATGTCTAATGACCACTGACAGGTGACGTGAATAACATTGATTTTCTAGTTTCAGTGGATGGGATATATTAGGCAGAAAGTCAACATTTTGTCCCTGAAGTTGATGTGATGGAAGCAGAAAAAATGGCCAAGTGTAAGGATTTAAGAGACTGACAAGGGCCAAATTGTGATGGCTAGACGACTGGGCTCGAGCAACTCCAAAACTGCAGCTCTTGTGGCATGTTTCCGGTCTACAGTGGTCAGGACTTACCAAAAAATGGTCCAAAAAAGGCTGAACCGGCAACAGGGTCATGGATGGACAAAGCTCATTGATGCATGTGGGGAGTGAAGGCTGGTCTGTGTAGAGTTTCTACTGTACGGTCGCACGTCTTCCGTCGAACCAGCATGCTAGAAAACCCGCCGGGAATCGTACGATTCTCGCGAGTTAGTGGCCTGCTGGTTCGACAACTGCCGAACGGGCCAGTGTGCGCATGCGCACACTGCCCGTTTGCAGTCATTGGAAGCCCGCCCCTCATTACAGTCATCGTAAGCCCGCCCCTCAGGTGGGCAGGCTTGCGATGATCGCCTGCCCAAGATGGGCAGGTCGTACGTTTTTTTAAGTACTTTACAACCCTTGCAAGACAAAAGTCTTGTGAGGGTTGTAAAGTGTATGGGCACCTTTCCTCAACTTTTTTTCCCTGTGATGGACTACAATCTCATGTTTAATTAACTAATTAAACATAAGGTTGTAGTTCATTACAGGAGCAAGCTTTGAGCTGTGGTTACTATACAACACACACAAGATACATGGGGAACAAAAGTAGCCACCCGCCAGAAGGAAGGACAGTGTCAACATGATTTCAGAGCTGATTTGAGGATCTACAGCCAAGTGATCCCCAAATAAGTTACAAATAAGATTTAACTCCTGAGTTTAGTGCTACTTTTAAAGATGGCTGTTCAATGTTCCCAAAAGTCAATCAGCCATAACATTATGAACAGAGGCATGTAAATTTCGTTTCATTCCGAATGCAAATTTGGACAACATTTTGTGAATTCAGATGCATCCCGATGTCTGAATTCCAATTGGGCCGAATGCAAATTAATCTGAATGTTCTTTTAACGGAACTTCGGACCATCTACATTTTGTTCAAAACTAAGCTAAACAGACACGTGACTGTTTTCTGGCCAATTAGAATCCCCGTCTATAACTAACACAAAATTTTGATAGATCCGATTAACGAAACACGGTTTGGACTCGAAATCTGAAATAAAAACAATCAGAAGTAAAACAAAACACATTTTTTGCTGGCTTACATGTCTAATGACCACTGACAGGTGACGTGAATAACATTGATTTTCTAGTTTCAGTGGATGGGATATATTAGGCAGAAAGTCAACATTTTGTCCCTGAAGTTGATGTGATGGAAGCAGAAAAAATGGCCAAGTGTAAGGATTTAAGAGACTGACAAGGGCCAAATTGTGATGGCTAGACGACTGGGCTCGAGCAACTCCAAAACTGCAGCTCTTGTGGCATGTTTCCGGTCTACAGTGGTCAGGACTTACCAAAAAATGGTCCAAAAAAGGCTGAACCGGCAACAGGGTCATGGATGGACAAAGCTCATTGATGCATGTGGGGAGTGAAGGCTGGTCTGTGTAGTTTGATCAAATAGAAGAGTAACTAGCTCCAATTTCAGAAAAAAATATTAATGCTGGTTCTGATAGAAAGGTGACTGAATCGTTTTTTTGCGTATAGGGCCGTGTAGCTGCAGTCAGGGTGACCATGTTGACTCCACAGCCAAAAGCACCTACAATGAGCACATAACCATTGGAACTGGACCATGGAAAAAGGATCTTTTACTTATTGGGTGTTTCAATACGGGAAGCGATCCACTAAACCCTTTCAATACAATCTCATTAACGCCAGTTGCTGAACTATTTTTATTGACGGGATTACCGGTGGATATCTGAACGAAGTCCTGTTCACTTCTAATATATGAGCCTTAGTGGTTACAACAGGTTGATCGCATGATCTTAACCCAATATATTTATATTATCCCCAAGGTGGACATTTTTTGTAATCGTAGAGGAATGAGTGGAAGTTGTGTATGATCTGACGTTGTCAATTTTTTTTAAGGGTTTTGGGATGTGGTGCAATATACTTGCGTGCAATTTTTGTGATAATTACCGGTAATACAGTTCTGAATTTCCTATATTTGGTCTGAAGTAACTCTTTTTGGTCAGCACACGCCTATAAGTGCAGGCCTCTTTTTGTGTTCTACCATGGAAGGTTACCTGGTCTGATGAATGTTTTCTTTTACATCATGTAGCTGGCCGGGTGCATGTGTGTCACTTACCTGGGGCAGAAATGGCACCAGGATGCACTATGGAAAAAGGCCAGCCGGCAGGGGCAGTGTGATGCTTTGGGCAATGTTCTGCTGGGAATCCTTGGGTGGATGTTATTTTGACACATACCACCTACCTAAACATTGTTGCTGACCAAGCACATCCCTTAATAGCAATGTTATTCCCTGAAATGTGGCCTCTTCAGCAGGATAAAGCGCCCTGCCACACTGCAAAGATGGTACAAGAATGGTTTGAGGAACATGAAGTCAAGGTGTCAACTTGGCCTTTACATATTCTAGATCTCAGTCCAAATCGAGTATCTGTGGTAGTGCTGGAAAAACAAGTCCAATCCATGAACCCACCTCACAACTTACAGGACTTAAAGAATTTGCTACTGGTGCCAGATACCAAAGCACACCTTCAGAGGTCCAGTGGAGTCCATGTCTCAACCAGTCAAGGTCGCTTTTGTGGCGAAAAGGAGACCTACTCAATATTAGGTGAGTGGTCATTAAGTTATGGCTGATCAGTGAACAGAGCATCTAACAGATGGAAAAAGTGCAACAGATTCCTACATCTACCTCTAAACTGTGACGATGGATGAATCTCCCACTGGGCCAAGCTTCAGTATCTTGCTAGGCGGCCCCGCTGGCTGTCTAATTTCCAAAAAGGGGACATTCAAGGGTGTTTGTACTATACCAGCATTTTCATGTCATATGGTTTATAAACAGAAAACAGGGAGTTTTTTTTCCAAATGTTTTAAATCTAGCTGCAACCCTAGGGGACATTTTATTACATACAAATAAATGGATTTCCAGTAAAACAATGGAACATTCTTATAAGAAAACACAGCTGTTGACATTGAACCACAAATGAAATATGTGGAATGTTGCAAAAGTCTTGAACAACCTAAAAGCTTGCAATTTTTATAATGGTTTAATTTTGTAAGTTTTAACATGATAAAAAAAAAAAAAAATTAAACAGAGGAAGTGGGAACAAAAACATAAAAGACTGGTAAAATAATACAGCTGAAAAAATATTTTGAAGCAGTCCAATTATGCTAAAAGAAGAATTAGTCCTTTGCTGCAATGCATGGTGCACTGGATCGGAGTGAATCCTAAAACTTCATTAGCTTCTGTCTTCAAATTGAGTTTTATTCTTCAAGAGGTAAGCTGCTAGAAATTCTATGGGATTTGAAGGTCTGTGGAGAAAGAAAAAAAAAAAAAGAAAAAACACAACTCAATTTTACACATATTCTTTTCAGTTAAATGTGTAAAAGTAAACACTATAAAAAGATAAAATGCTGTATCTACACATTTTAAAGCAATACAAATATTGTGAAATGTTATGCCAATAAAATATACTGTATATCTGCAATACAGAGATTTCAACTGTCATGACTAAATTCTATGAAGAAAATATATTAAAATGAAAACTTGAAGCAAATTTTTTTTTTTTTAAAAAGGTATCAAAGCAAAGAACATTTTATTTCAGGGGTAGCCAAACTCCGGCCCTCCAGCTGTGGTGAAACTACAAATCCCATGATGCATCTCTCTCCGGGAGTCATGGCTGTGAGAATCTTGCAATACCTCATGGGATTTGTAGTTCCACCACAGCTGGAGGGCCGGAGTTTGGTTACCCCCTGGTCTATTTAAACAAACTCAGATGCAATGGTTACCAGTCCCCACAGCATTCGCCATAAAGCATAGAAAGAACTGTAATGGCCACTTCATTTATATCTCTTTCTCTATTCATAAAAAATATATTTTATTAGGGCTGCAACAACTAATCTATTATAAATCGATAATGAGAATAGTTGTCAAAGATTCTCATTATTGATTAGTTAAATCCTGCTCTGCTCCCCCAGTCTCCTCCTTAATCAGAGGGGACACAGAACGGTTCTGTCAGCACCTGACGGGTAGTAGAGAGCGCTGTGCCTCTGCAGTCCACCGCTGCTGCCCCGTGCCTCCAATGCTGCCCCAGGCAGATAGCTGGCATCACGTCTCCCATCCAGTGGCTGGGAGCAATAGCTAACCTGCTATTGGCTATTTTACATTGCACTAGCAGGCTGGCTATTGTATCCACCCACTGCATGCTGTCATCAGCAGAGGAGGACCTGGTCCCTCCTCTGCTATATGACAGTATGCAGTGAGCAGGTACAAAAGCCAGCCTTCTAGGGCAATCTGGAATAGTCAATAGCAGGCTGGCTATTGCTCCCAGCCACTGCCTACTGTGTTTACATTCAGCTGCCTCAGCAGGTAGCTTGCATTCCCCAGCTAAAACTATTGAAGTGGAAAGGTGACACAAGACCCTAGTCAAATAGACCCCTAATGTCACCTTAAAGAGAGCCTTTCATCTCCAATGTACTACCACAAAGGGGCTTGTGAACCCCCCATGTGAGGGCAAGAAGAAAAAAAAAAAGTTAAAATTAAATTAATTATACCCCCCCAACAAATTAATGTCCACCGACCCTGTGAATACAGAAAAACAAGTTGGATGCACCTGCGTACAAAAAAATGACGATTGCACTACACGCCAGGTATCGATGCGTGCGTCAGAGTGAGAGCAATCATTCTCGGGAAAATATACTCATGGCCAACTCTAAATTGATGACTGGGCTTACATATGCATTTGTAAAAAAAAAAACTTTTATGTAAAATAACACACAAAAAAATACAATTGGTTAAAAAAAACAAAATTTTAAAATTGCACCTCCTGTCTGCAGTGTGATCGCCCACACTGGAACACGTGGTACTGCAATGCCATGCATTCCAGTGCAGTACAATTGCAAACAAAATGTGCATGCAGTTTTATTCTGAAGTTGTTTGCAACACTCCATTTGTGTATTTTATTTTAAATAAAAGATGGTATTTTTATCCGATTAAAATCGACAAAAAACATTTTGGGTTTCTGAAAAACTTTAAAAAGGACAATTTTGTCTTTAAAGAAGTAAAGCTATAGCCTCATTAAAGTCTACAGGGACAAAGTAAACCACCGGGAATGCTTAACCTCTCCCCTTCTGCAATTTGTAAACTAACATTCCGCAGCACTAAACATCTATAAAATGTCTCATTTTTGACAGCCACCAGCTAACACATTTGTGGTGCTGGGGGCTCTCAATCCCAGCTGTCACTGACAGCTCAGATCACTACTAACAATAAGGAACTGATCAGACACTGCAAGGTTTGTATTAAAACAGTATACTAAATAAAAGCCTTATATGTCCTGTACGTTAACCAACGCCTGCTGATGCTGATAGATTTGGCATGGGCATGCCGGCAATCACACTGCCTCCACTGTGTTTTACAGATGTGGTATGCTTTGGATCATGAGCCGTTCCAAGCCTTCTCCATACTTTTTTCTTTCCATCATTCTGGTACAGGTTGATCTCTGTTTCTGTTCAAAGAATGCTGTTCCAGAACTGGGCTGGCTTTTTTAGATATTTTTTGACAAAGTCTAATCTGGCCTTTCAATTGTTGAGGCTTATGAATGGTTTGCACCTTGTGGTGAACCCTCTGTATTTGCTCTCATGAAGTCTTCTCTCTATGACAGAGTTGGATAATGATATACTGTATTTACCTCTTGGAGAGTGTTCTTCACTTGGCTGGATGTTGTGAAGGGGTTTTTCTTTACCATGGAAAGGATCCTATGATCATCCACCACTGTTTCCTCTGGACGTCCAGGCCTTTTTGTATTGAAGACCTCACCAGTGCATTCTTTTTCTCATAATGTACCAAACTGTTGATAGGGCCACCTGCAATGTTCCCACTAGCTCTCCTATGGATTTCTTTTTTGCAGCCCGAGGATTGCCTGTTTCCCTTACAGTGAGATGTCCCCTGCACACATTTTGTGGGTTCACAGCAACAGCTCCTAAATGCTAAACACCACACCAGGATTCAACTCCAGACCCTTCACCTGCTTTTACCAACTTAAAGCTAAGAGACTGCACTTTACTACTGTAAATAAACTGTGCTTAAACTTAAGCTTTTTTTCAATAATGAACCTAAATCAGATATACAGTACATTGCCCAGCAAAGCATTGCTTTACTTTTTTGCCCAAACATTTACAAATCATCATGTTTCTGAACAGCTGCTTCCAAGTCTTAGCTCAGCTCCAATAAACTTCCTGTCCAGTAAGATAAAAAACCACAAAAAAAACGCGCAGACTCGTGCAGAAATCGCTTAAAATCCTTTTGACTTTAAAATCACTAACTTAAGTTTTCTTATTTTGGCTGTTTACCAAAATAAACTCATGTCCGTATACAATTATTTCCAGACCAAACTGTATTAAACAGTCATCGTAAAAAGATGAAGCCCATCATTCAGTTAAAATCTTACCTTTCTTTTGCCAGCACTGAAAGACCCTGTAAAAGTATTGGAACCACAGTCTGGTCAAGATATGCTCGTGTGGGCAAGGCTTGTAAATCCACCTTCTGCTTGGAGGCTTTTTCTGTGCCTGCTTTTTCATTTTCTACTATTCTCTACAAAGAAGCACAACAGTCCGATTAACATTTTGGCCGTACGTTTCAAATGAGAAACTACAAAATTCAACTGTTTAAGATCCAATTAAAATCAGACTTGCAGACTGGCTGCACAGCATGCTTGATTGCTAGGATGCAAGTAGCCGGACCACCCTGTATCATGCATTCCAACGGTGTAGGGCTGGCTTCACAGCATCTTGGAATGCTAGGATGAAAGTAGCCAGGCCACATCGTATCAAGTCCTTTCAATGGTGTATGGCTGGCAGCCATGTGTAGGGCTGGCTGCACAGCATCTTGGATTGCTAGGATGCAAGCGGCCGGGCAGCTCAATGCATTTCCATGTTGTGGACCTGCCAGCCTCCAGAACTATAATAACCAATGACTCCGTGTGTCCTGGCCTTCTGCACCGTGGAAAAGCATGACAGCATTCATCCTGGCCATCCACACCATGAAAACTCATGACGCCAGGCAAAGCAGCAACCCTTGCTACAGAAACACATGTTGCCTTGCAGCCTGCCCGTCTCCACCATGGAAACGATAAACACGGCACAGCGCAGCTGCCTAGACTACCGCCGATACTTTTTTTTTCCCCCGCATACCCCTAAATTTTGTGGTACATATACCAGGTTAAAAACCACCGGCCCAGCCACAGAACAGCATTTAACCCCTGCAGTGCTGGGGAGCCCCGCTGCAAAGGTAATTTTTATTTTACCCAGAGTTCAGCTTTACCTACTATTGCTGGCGCAGGATTGGAGGGGTAAGGGTTAATCACAACAACAAACACCACACAAGGTGTTGCTAACCACAAACTAGACCATGCATGATTTCAGGGCTGGGGACAAGGCAGCACAAATCACACACAGTCACTGCCTAGAGCTAATTGACTATCCCGGATCACCACTCAAAGCTTCAACGCAGCTACTGGCCTGGTACCTCAACATTCTCAGTGAGACCATATTCTGCGTGAGGGTTTTCCGAAACCTGTAAAACAAAACAGCGGTCAGCGGTGTTCCGGGAACACGGCGGGCTCGGCTCTGCAGCGCACACACTTACCTGGCTCTGTCCG